AAAGTTGCAGTCTCTAGTGGATGCTTAACAAGGCACGCGGCAAGAGAGTATAAACTGAATTCTGTGAAAGGTGCTCACGAGCATGGTGACATACCACCGTGCACGTACATAACACGGAGGTCAGTGAGAACACGGATGAGTTTGAAGGAGACCTCTGACATAAAGCTTGAACCAAATACTTTGGATAGCTATAAGAATAACTTGGCGAGAACACGATCGGACGTTTTAGAGCAGCAGTCTCATGCAATGGATGAAAGCGACCTGGCTCATGGGACGTCACACAAAGGGGAGGCCAGGTGTCAGAAAAATGACGCGGGCACGTCAAAAAAGAAGTCTCGACAAGGAAAACTAGTGAAACCACCTGCAAAATTAGATGAAACGGATAATACGCACAATACACCTGTAAAAGATGAAGTACCAGACTTGATCAGCTCTCACTCAGAGAACAGAGAGAGGAATAACGTGGTAGATATACCTGTTAGCTATCAAGACTGTATCTCTGGATCTGGTAGCTGTTCTGTTGTGACATCTGACAGTTTCAAAGCAAAGGATGGCTTCAGAACTGCAAAAACTAAAAAGAAAAGACGAATCACGAGGTATGATGCACAATTAATCCTTGAAAATAGCTCTGGGATCCCTAAACTGACTCTTCGTAGGCGCCATGATAGCAGTAGCAAGGCAAATGACCAAGAATCTGATGGAATGAATTCTTCAAAAATAAGCATCAAATTAAGTAAAGACCATGAAAAGGATAATAATTTATATGTAGCAAAGCTAAATAATGGGTTTAACTCAGGATCAGGCAATAGTTCAACAAAACTAAAAATACAGTTAAAACGAGAGGAAGAGAATAGAGGGACGTACCCTGAGGACCTTCATGAGAATGGTGTGTGTTGTAGTGAAACTCTCTCCCTTTTGGAGTCAAGAATGGAAGTAGATGATTATGCTCAGTATGAGGAGGAAACGGCAGATGAATCTTCATCAGAAGAGGATGATGAAGAGGAAGATGACTATGATGATGAATTTGATGACTTTATTCCTCTTCCTCCAGCAAAGAGATTAAGGCTCATTGTTGGCAAGGATTCAATAGATATTGATATTTCTTCCAGGAGGAGGGAAGATCAGTCTTTAAGGCTCAATGCATAAGCTTATAGGTCTTAAACTGACCTGGATGTCATTTTTTAAAAAACAAACATTTAAAAAAAAATAATAAAAAAAAAACAAACAGCAACAACAAATTCCATTTGATTATTCCTCAGCTGAAGAACTTTCTGAGAAACTTAGTGGCAGCACTTCTTTATTGTTTGTTCACCTATCAACATAATATTGTAGAAAGTGTACAGCATACTGACTCTTCTTAAGTCTGATTTGTGCAGATTTTTATTGTACTTTTTAATAGCCTTCTTATGTGCAATTCTGAGGTAGAGGTAATGCTCTGTTGTAAAATAAAGGCTCAAGCAAAGTTATGAAGTTGCATCAAATCTTTCCATGCAGGACAATGAGAATACAGTGTGGCTACACAATTATTTTTGATCTGTAAGAGTGCTAGTTTGCTCTTACAGTATTTGACTAAACAATTAAAATTAAAAAAAAAAATCATAGTAGCAGCATATTTAAGGTTTTCTAGTCTATGTTAATATCACCAGCAATGAACTACAGCTTTTCGATTTATTTGCTAGATGTTTTTTTTTCCCTTGGAGTTCGTCAGTTTTAACACTGTATGCTGTCCCAGATGTACTGTTTGTGGCCTTTGTTATAGTAGCAAACCGTTGGTTGGAAGTCAAATTGATTTCTTTAAAAAAAAAAAAAAAGAAAAAAATTAAAAAAAATTAAAAGGTGTTGACAATTTGCTGACTTTTTAGTACATTATATGTACAAGGGTAGCAGTATGCAGAATAAAAGTTTGGATATGGTGTATTTATTGCTTGTTATGTAAATTAAACACCTTGTATTTAACACTTTTCAATACTTTTAGATAAAATTGTTCTTTGCAAGAATGATTGGTGCTTATTTTTTCAAGAATTTGCTGTGAAATAATGTGACTACAACGGGCGACATTTATCCAATGAACTGCAGCTATCCTGAATTGGTTCTTCATATTTTTCTGTTGCACTTGTAAAATGCTACAAGGAATTTAAAGAAAATCTATTCACTTTAACTTATGATAGTTTTATGAAATTAAAAACAACTAAGTCACAGCTTTTGTTCTGTGGTAACCTATAAAATGTTTGTCTTTTAAGAACCGGTTGTAAAAGACTGAAAAAAAAAAATATGTATATGTTGTAAATATTTGTGTGTTGTGCGAAATTTTGTCATAAGAAATTGAGATAACTTGCCAGAAGGGTTTTTAAGTTTAGAAATACATCCATGCCAATAAAATAGGAAATTGTAAACCTAGTTTTAAACTCTGCATTAGTTGGAGTTCTTTGCTCATATGTAGTTCACTTGATACTTCAGAATCTACTTTGTAACAGTGAAGAGCATCAGGGCAGCCTTTGACTTTTTTTAGTTCCAACAACATTAAGAAAACCTACTGCTTCTGGGCACAATTAATGTGTTTGTATGTATAAAGCAGCTAATTTATATGGCACTTCTTTGAAACAGGGCTAAAATTTTCACCTTTTGTAGTTGTCATAACTGTACAGCAGTTTGGTCTGTGTGGTCTTTGTTTCTATTCAGCCGTGGTTTTAATACTCGGAATTCTTGTATCGAAGGATGTAGAAACAGGCGTCTCACCAAAAAGCACATTGTTGTATCAGCTCAATCTGCTGTAGTTTGCATACTGTTGTCATGTTAGGTCCAGTGCTCTGTGCCCAGAAGAGGAAGGACTTGAGTTTCTTGACGGTTCTCTTATCCAGGTTTGAAAGCATTGAACGTCGGTGGTAACATGTGGGTAGTTTGCATGAGTTGATCCTAATGATCTGGCCATCTCTGGTTTCTGTAGAAAAGAATTACTTTTCTTTTCTTGCAAGTGAATCCTTCCAAATGCATTTTGCTGATTTGTCAGGCTGCAAATCATATGGTAGAACCGTTTCATCTTGTTTACTTTATGTATTTTTAGCATAGAATTAAGTGTAGAATTAAACACAATACTTGCAACTTCATTTTTAAAATGTCCGTTCTTTGTTAAAGGCAGTCTGTCTCTCATGTATAGAGTACAAAAAAAAAAAAGCCTATGTGTAATGCACAGTCTTTTTTGGCAAACATGGGTTTTTAGGTCACAGAACACCTGAATGCAAAAAGACTTCGGTAAGTATGCTGATATTTTTGAGCACTGAGCCAGGTCTTAATGGAACTTGTAGGTTTTTTTGTAGGTAGCTTTTTAGGTATCAGGAAATTTGGATTGATCTTGTTCATGAACAGACTTCTTGTACTGGAGAATTTAGAGCTACGTTTAGTCGTTCACAGGTAGACAAGTCTGTAAATGGATCGAGCTGAGGATTCTTGGTGTTAGAAATGTCTTGAAAATAAGAAGGTGCATTCCCCCAAGATAGGGTAGGTGGGGCTTGTATAACAACAGTCCTTTCTGTGCTTCTCTTGCCGTGAGAACAGACTTGTTTTTCATCACGTGTATACGAATTGCCATACAGTGGTTTTTCCCTACCACTAAGATTAGGGAAATGGTGAATGTTTGTGTCACATGTATGAAAAGTTAGCAAGGTGAGCATGTTTCTTCCCTTCCTATTCAGGTCTCACGGCACTGTAAAGTTAGTGATATAACTTCTGGGAACCCTGTTCTAGCTTCTTTAATTTCCCAGGAGGGTGGTAAGGAAACATGCATCAGCTGGATAGGTTTACAGTGACCACCATAACTTTGGGTGGCCAGGGCAAAGTTTTAACAGGATGAAGAATTGGAGAAGGCATGTTAGAAATGGGCTGTGTCAGCTAGCTGAGTTTCCAACACATGGAATAGCTGGGGAGGGTAAAGAAGAAACATTACAGCCAATGCTGAAACAGCAGGGTGGCTGCTGATGATGCAGGTGCTGCACACCAAGGCCCATATAGCTGAGAAGAGCTTAGGCTACTCATAGTAACAAGTGTAACTACTAGCTGGCTCACATCTTACAACCCTGGGGAGTCAACAGGGTAGAAGACAAAGATAAGATGAAAGCAAATGATGTTCTTCATGTAACAGGTTTAGGGAGCTACATTGTTCTTAAAGGTTTTTGTTTGTTTGTTTTAATGTGAAAGTTAAAAATGCAATGGCTTATCACACAGTACAATCATTGCAAAATACAATGCAGGCAGTTTGATCCTACTGAGTAGTGTTCATGTCAGTCCTAAGGAGACAGAACAGATGATTACTCTGCCTTGCATAGGGCAAGCTAACCTTCCCTGAGGGGTGTTGTTTCTGTACCTACTTCAAACTCTCAAGTATTAATTTGCACAAAGATTAGCATCATGCAGTATTACTCTGCTTTTCACAGTGCACTGGCTTTCTTCAGTAATACTGCCTGATGCGATGTGTTAAATGCACCTGCAGAGCTCCCCAGAGTGTGTATGCAGATTTGCTTTTAGCTGCTGCTGCTGCTTGTTGTCAGTTTGCCTCTGTTCCCCACATTTTATCATCTGTTGCTCCTTTTAAAATGAGAAGGTGAAGGCTTGGGAACTCTGGAATAAGACTTGCTGAAAACGAAAAGTCAAAGTACTTACATGTGCACCGTATCCACTACTGTTATGTGTTTTCTTAAATCCTTTTCCCAGGAAACACTCCTGTTTGAGCTGAGTCATAAAAAAAAAACTGGTAGCCTTGCATGCTCTGTTGCACCCTACCGACCTTTTGTTTTCACAAGTTAACAAGGTTATGTTGTCTATCTCCAGTACTGTTCCATAGCAGTAACATTAGGTACGGAATTGCTCTGTATTGCCTATTGCAGCTGCTGCTTGTTCTCCACAATGTCACATCAGTTCTAGCTTTAATACCTTGTTTACAATAATCCCATTAAATGTTCTTACTATTGCAGGGTGATTGTTTCAATGCTATTCCTTCTCTCCACAGGCAAAGGAAGTCCACAGCTTCTCCCCTGGACTAGGCAGCTACATGTGATTTAACTTGTGTAATCTGGGACTCATCCGTATGGGAAATTTCCTGTCACAGAAACAGAGGTGATGCTGGAGAACTGCTTGTAGGTACAGGTATGTCAGCTCTGGAGCAGAATGGGGCCAACGAGACAGTGTTGCTCTGGAAACTGTTTTGACGTAAGAGGCAAAAGACTCATGGTTTTGGTAGCGAGTTCCAGCCAAATGTGGAGCTACCAGTGGGTCCAACAAAACATAGATTTTTCCACTGATGCTTTATGATGCATATCAGAAGTCAATTCTCTTCCGTAATTAGATTTATAGTTATTCTGCTCCAATTATTGTGTTGGCTGCAACATTTTGCAACAGACTTTTGCTCTCTACCGGTTTACAACCTGTAATTGTGTTGTGTAGAATACGATTTTATTTGTAATTTTAGAAATCTTGCATACACAGCATTAGTACAGGACTGCTCATTGTTATTGCAGTCTCTTGGATAACATTGGATGCTGAGGCAGAAAGATGTCTTTCCAGCTGAGTCCTTTCCTGTGCAAGAATTCAAGTGCAAAGGCTGCCCAAAATGTTGTAGCCCCAAAGATGAGTCACAGCCTATCCAGTCAGCATCTAGGAGGTGCCAAATTGCTCATGTTTAAGTAGTGAACAGCAATTGCCAGCTTTGGAATTGACATCAAGCCTTGAGATCCAACTTGAGGGTTTTGATCTCGTAGCACACATCCTTAGAGGGGAATGTACTATGACTTCAGTCTTAATGGTAAGATGGGGTTTACAATTAATTTTAGAAATCAGACTTAGCCTTTTAATTACTTCAGTGTTTCAGAAAGTTTTCTTGCAAAATGGCATAGTAAAATACTGTAGAGTGTAGCTACTTCAGATCTGCAATGAAATCCAGAAGCCAAGCAACTCATACTCCATTTAAATATGAGACTGACTATAGTTTCTGAGGTCGTGTTAATTGTTCCTGAAAAATCAGGGTCTTTTTAATTTTTTTTCAGTGTTAAGTACCTGTTGATACTTGAATATCAGATTTTTTTAAAAATGTTGGAGTTAATAATTTGTAGGAGGTTTTTCTGCATGCTTTCGTTTAAAGGCATTTTGAGGTGAGAAACTATTTTTGTATTTTTCTGTTGAGGATGGGATATGGATGGGAGCAGAGCACTTTTTTTCCCCCTTTCCTCTCTCAGCTTCCTTTTATCTTCATCAAGACTGAGTGTTGTAAAATCAAATGGAAAGATAGTCTCAGCCCTCCCCAGATTTATGCTGTTCTCATTACCTGTGCATGTGACACAAGTCTTAGCATATGGACCTCTCCTATAGGATATAACTGAATTCTGAGATTATTGCCTATAGTGACTAATGGGGAATAGTTCTAGGTTGGGGAACATGCTTTGTAATAGGATCAAAATCTTTTCAGACTGATTAGATTTCTAGCAAAAAGCCCCAAACTCTTGGTAAATCTACATTCGGTTTAGAGCGTGGTATGATGAACATCATTTTTGGTGACACTAACAATACTTGTGTTTCAGCATAGGAAGAGCAGGCAATAGGTGGAAGAGGAATAAAGGAAAGGCTAAAGAGGTGAGCTGTTAAAAGTGTTCTGAATACCTTAAAGCATTTAATCTTTCCTTTTATTAAAAAAGGCAGAAAAATTTTAGTTATTCCTTTTAGGAAAAAGCCAACATACAATATTTCCTAGATGTGTAGCTTTTGTTTTTTGGTTTTAACTTAAAGCTGTAATTGAACTTGTGAAACCCTGACTTAAAGGGTCTACTGAATGAAAACACAACATATTTAGATGTAAACTTACTCCCTGTTAAGAGCTTCATTCAGTTGGAAGGACACAGTCGTAGTGCTTCTCTTAAAAGCTGTAGCAAAGTTTAACTTGTCTGCAAGTCAATCTCGCATTATTGGTCACTGTCAGAGATTGCATACTGGGATAGTTGGACCTTTTTTGGTCTGAGCCAAGAGTGCTTTCTGTCTACAAAACATGTCATGAATAACAGGACTTTTGGAAGCCTGCAGAGGGCAGATAATTAGTAATAGTTTGTATTTATATACCACTTTTCACATCTCTGTCAGGCAGAGCATGTGGATACCACATCCATGCCAGCAAACATCCAGTTAAAAGGGATACTACTTTTGCTAAGGAACATTTTGATCACACAGTCCTCCTTGTTTATTGTTTCTATTCAGGAGTTTGTGCTGATTTACTCCATCTTCAGCTCTTTTCTTTAAGGGATTCCATCCTGTGCAGCCAATAGGCATGTGTGATATAGCTGCTATCCTAGAAATGGTACATCTACAGAGAGAGAGTTATTTATTTCAGTCGCTGGACACCAAACAGCTTGGATCTGGGACTCCAGAGCTAACAGTCAGAAAGAGTCCTGAAGGGTGCTCTCAGTAAGTGCTCATTTTTGTCCTGCTGATGTGAGCAGTTAAGCATCACCTTAAGGGCTGCTGCCACAGTCAAACCCGGATCTTCAGTGCTGTGCATCCCTGAGACTTCATTTCACTGGTGAGACCTTGCACAACATTGGCACCTCTTTGCCACCTTGGCTGCTGAATTGAGATTGATCTGTCCTGATATGTCAGAGCTTGTGCACTGCAAATATCAAGAAAGGAAGGAAGGAATCTGAGAGGGAAGTGGAAGGTGAAATTCAATTCTGATGATGTTCTCTTTGCCTTCAGCATGCTGAAGATAGAGTCAGTGGGCCTTCCTCTCAGCTTTCCACTTCAGAATGTGGTGTTACGTTCTGGCAAAATGCCTTGATGTACTCCCACTGCTCACACACTGTGATGGTGGTTAGTTAGTAATAGGACAAGTGATCCATCTATCCAGCTCTTGGTTTGACTCAGTTTTGTGAGTGTGTGCATAAAGGGCAACCTTTTTATGCATCCCTGGGCTTTCTGGAGACAGGACTGCTTACACATATAGCTTTGGAATTCAGTTTTTTAAGACCCTTCATGATGACAGCAATATACTTCAACTTCATTTCTGTGAGGCATCCACATTTCTTTTAAATATAACTGAATTCTGAATTTCCTGGTTTTGTCACTTTTGCTCTAAGAGAAAACAGTATTGTTCACATGGTGGGTTAATTCTTAGAGCACCTAGCTGTAGCAAAATTCAGATTAATGCATTCTGTTTGTGTGAAGTTTACTTGAATAGTATACTCATACTCTGTTCCTTTCCAAGGTGTTTGCAGAGAAATTCCTGTATTCCTAATATGTTGCACAAGTTGCTTTTCTTCCTGTTCAAGATTATGAAGAAGCCCCAAAGTGAATAAAACTCAAAGCAGTACTGTTTTTCAGAATCTTTAAGGAACTTGTCTTTTCACACAGTAGCAACCTTTCATTTTTAAACAAAATGAACATTTTCACAAAGCTGATTGTGCTAAAGCTTCCCTTAAAGCATCCAGTATGGAATTCCAGGCATTTTCAGAAATTTGTTTGAGGTATCTCATGTAGTTTGACCAGATAAAATTTAACCCAGATCTAGAGTAGAATTCTCAAAGTTAATTTTAAGATAACTAATAAGAAACAGCAAAATAGCTGACTTCTCTCACCTGCAGATTGGTTCAGGATAACCACCATAGCAATATTTGACATTTGAAAGTTGCTCTGTAAAATCTTTGTGGCATTTCACTATCGAGTTTTTCACATCCGTTGCTAGCTAGTCTCCAGCATGGAAGTCAGTATCACTCAGCAGAATTTTACTGTGTTATGTGACACCTTGTTTCTCCTTGTCTTCTCTGCAGACAAGGCATCCGCAGTTGTTCATGCACAGTTACATCTGAGGTTTGTCTTCTTTGGGTAAGGCTATGTGCTGCAGCTTGGGTCAGAACCTGTAAGGATGAGCTGCTCACTCTAGCTTGCCTGTCCCTTCAAAAAGCAGAATCTCCTTACAGCAGGGACTGTATCGGATTGAGAATGATGCTGGTGGGTACCAAAAGCCAAAACTCCTAACAGAGCTTTGTTCCAAAGATGGCTTCTGGTCCCATGCTATCATTTGGTTTTGCAGACAGATTGGATTTTATCCATCGGACCGCTTCCATTCCCAACACAAGGTGGCACTCGCCTGCTAAGAGAAGGATTTCTCAGCCCTGCAGCCTGGCTCTCTTTAAAAGCTAGTGTGTATTTGTTACAAGCTGCATGGTCCTTTATTGCTTTTTGCTGTGTGATGTCCCAAGAGTGCATCTGAATGACACATGGCGAAGAAAGCAAGCAGACCAGCAGTGAGCTGGAGGCAGGATATGATCCAAGTTACAGAGCAATGCTAGCCAATAGGGATCAGGGAATAACTTGATGCTGAACACAGCTGTGCTCTTGCTAGCTTTAATCCTTTGCATTCCACAATGAGGAGATACCTCCGTCAGCACTTTCTAGCCTTATCCATGCCTGCTTCTTTGAGTTTCTGCTGTTTCCATTAGCAGAGTAGCTGGGAGGAGCAAGCAGGCTAAGCAGGTGGCATGTGCTGCTGCACCTCACGTTCAGCTGGTAGCTGCTGAGAAGGTTCTTGGTCAAGGGGAGGTACTGGGGAATGGAAGTGGGGGGGAAACAGGAGAAAGAAGCAAGCAATATAACATCCTCCTGTTGTTTGCTGAGTATGTAAGAATCCTTTCTTGGTAAAGATCCAGCATTAACACTTGCCTAAGGAATGCTGCATGGATTCTTGGGGGGAAAGGCTGTTGGCGGGTCTTGCAGCTCCCAAAATCAAGTGAGAACAAGTTGGCTGCTGCTATCCTGCTGCTGTGTGATACTTTTAAGTCATTATTTGCTCAGACTTTGCAATTCCTTTCTATGTGTTATCAGTATGGAGATACTGGCTATCTAGTCAACATCTCTGTCTAAGACTGATCTCTCATGCTTGGTTTACTTGATATTCTTTCCCTGCGTTGCAAGGTATTTATCATCTGAACCAATCTAAAAGATTTGTTTTAATGAAATCTTAGTGGGAACTTTGGAGGAATACAAATTATGAAGACGTAGTTAAATACTGTGTGGCCTTCTGCAGCCTTGGATCTCAAGGCTTGTTACTGTCACAGAAACTGTGAAGTCTCAAGATCAAGAATTGCCAACAACGTGCCAGTAACCTCCCATATATCACACTGATCTTTCAAGGAGATCTGAGCTGCTGTGCCAGGCTTATAGATAGAGACACTGGGGCACAGAGGAACTAGCTTTGTTAACAGCACATAGCAGGGAAGTGTCAGATGCTGATCTCATAAATAGTGCTCTTAGTGCAGAAAAAAGTCCTGATACTCACACGTCACACTCTGTATGGTTCAAGTGTTGCCTGACTGAAGAGGCAAGAGACTGTGTCAAACCTAAAGGTATGTGGCTGGGTTTAACTGGTAAGGAAATAATCATAGATACTGGAGGGGCACGGACCTTGTAAGCAGAGCTCTTCCACAGCTGACTGTGAGAAGTGCCTCTGCCAAGGGAGACAGGAGGCAATGTGAGCCCTAACATCAGGTGCCCAGTTTCCAGAATTAACTTTGGTAGAGGTGGGTTTGTGACAAAGACAGGGGCGATACTCTGTGGAGTCCAAGGCACTGGCTGGCATCCTGCTCTGCAGCCCCAGCAGCAAAGTTGGCAGGCTCTGGAGAGAAGGATCAGTTTGGTCTCAGCCAGATGTAGCGACTTGTTTCTGTGCCTGGGAATCAGGTCGCTTGCTTGCCTGGCCAGGAAAGGCTGCAATAAACATTTTTTTTTTTTTTTTTTTTTTATAGTCTTGAACTTTCCTACCTTGTATTTATTGCTTCTGCTCCTGCGTGTCCTTCATGAGATTTGCCTTACACATCACCAAAGAATTTGAAGTTTGGCTCCTGAGCTGTGTTCTGTAGCTTGTCACCAATCTAATAAAACTCTTCAAGACAAGGCCTTGTTCTTATTATGCAAAGTTTTGTATTAATATGAGTCTTAAATTAGGTAGGTATAACTCCTATCATTAGAACAGTAAAATAGTTAAGCAATGCTTCTGTCTTACTCCTTGTAGATGCCGTAGAGGGATAGACATTTTCTTTTTTATCTTATGTAAAAGCTTTTCATCCTTCTCCCCCACATTTGAGCCTAATATATTTTCTAAAAAGTGAGTCTTCCACCCTTTTATGTTGACATGCAGTTGCTTTCACTAAGAATGTTTCTAGGCAGATTGGATTTTCCAGAAGAAATGGAGTGCCCCTCACAGAGCCTGGCTCCTTAGCAGCTGGCAGGCATGGGTGCTGCAGCACTTGAAATGCAAGATCTTGTAAGGAGTCCTGGCACTGCAGAGCAGCTTTAAGCAAACAGGGAATGGTTGCAGCATTTATGACCTTTGCTGATTGAATTGTTGCATGGTGTGGTGTTACTTAATGATTCCCTTAGGCTGTTAAGAATCAGGCAAGGCTTTTTTTTCCCCTCCTTCCATCACTAAGAAGAAGGCTTCCACAAAGTGGGCACAGACTGTACAGCTGGACAAGGTGAGTAACGGGTCATATTCCATGAATGTGGAAAGGTTTTGGTTTTTTTTCCCCAGTTTTGCCATTGATTTTTTGCTTGCAGGCAAGCCTTGTTCCCCCATCTCTGCTCTGTGCATT